GGCAGGGTGGGCAATTATTTTGGGCGGAGGGCTGCTTACTGGGTTTTGGCAAGCCATCAAGGGCCACATGCCAGGCAGCCAGGGGCAGATATATATTATATTAATTTTTTTTAGGGGCTCTGCAGGCCAGATAGAATGGCCTGGCGGGCCACATCCAGCCCCACGGGCCACATTTTGTCCACCCCTGCTTTATACAGCTCACTAGGTCCCCACTCCGTCTCCCAATGCAGTCCCTGCTAAAGGCTGCTCCAGGGCTCTGAAGGGTCGATGAAGATGCATACGAGGAGTTACTCAACAGTAACTTCTAGGTGGATGTTTCATCTTATGCAGCTGTAGAAATTGGGAAGCACGAAGGAAAAATATAAAAAGCTCTTGTTCATACCAGCGACATCAGAGTATCTTCACTTCGGCTACTGTCCCAACACTGGAGAAGGTAAAAGCATGAAACGCCCGAGCCTGGGAATGTAACCTATTGCAATGCGTTTCAGCAGAACCTAGCACCATGGGGCCCCTGTACACCTCATTTATCTGGGCACTACCAAAATTAGGACTGGGACATAAGGCGGATACAATCACTCCTTCGGAGGGCACTCCATCACAGAGAACTTCTATGAAGCACTGACACCTCCATATCATGCAATCGTCCTAGCCATATTAGGGGGTTAAATCCACCTCCCCTATCAAATACTGATTATGCCATGAAATTAGAACTTCTTTGTACAGCATTTTTAGATCACAGGCTCTATCTAATATTTACTTGTTATTAAGTCTCACTCAAAGTAATGTTACATTTACAGATTTCATAGGACTGTGGTAGAGATGGATGAAAGGCCCCTAGTCAGAAAAGTGCGATATAAACAGCCTTCTGCAGCGAGATTCAAACACTGCAAAAGTACCAAAAATTTGGACAGTCACTCAATGTGGCGCACACGGAACATGAGAACAAGGCTCATAGACAAAATACATGTGGAAGAGTGGGCAAGAGCTGTAAATGCAACCGAGAAAAAACTTGTAGTAAATAACTGAATATCACAGTTATGTCATTTTTTCTCTCAAGCTAGGTAGAAACTGCGACTGCACCTACCTGGACATACAAGGGAGCAAAGGGCAGAGAGGGGTTGCTCACATCTCAGAGCAATCTGCCAAGTTTGTGAGCTGTGTGCGCGAGGAAGGCATAAGTAAGGGGGAAGGGGGAGGCTGGAGAAAGGCAGGAAACCAAATGAAACCCCAGTTCCTGTCCCTCAACAACAAGCAGCACTGAGCAAACAGGATTTTTGGTTTAAAAAACAAAAAACTGACTTCCTCCCCTAAAGCACTGCCACTCTCTCCCCACCCTCCCCCAGCCCGGGAGAAAACAGATCCTTCCCCTATTTATAAGCCAGCACACTCATACAAGAAACACTGCACCCAGCAATGTCATGCAGCCACTCCTGGGTGCCCGACGGAGGAACCATTTTAACAGTGCACAGCAACAGCTGCCAACTTTAGACGCAAGAAAACATTTGGAGATAAAGGGGAAAGAAACATCTCTGATGCTTTTTCAGCTTGCTCAATTTGGTCATGTGACAGCATAAGGAAGAGTTATTTTCCCCCAGTCAATGTCTCTTTTTTCTGTGAATATTTCAAACAGGACCAGAAGGAAAACCATGATACAAACCACACACATTTTTTTTTTCTTTTGCAGCACAGCTGGAGACTCCTGACCAAAGGGCAGGGAAAAGTAAAGTATGGTCTCCAAACGTCCACAGCTGGCAGGAGCTTGCTGGTCTCAAAGCAGCAGGTAAGAGCACAGACTGGGCCTGGGCTCGGGCTTGGGCTCTTCCAGCGACACAAGCTGCATTTGCCAACTCAGCTGCTCTCTTGCTTCGCGCTAGTTGGTCTCATTTTCTCTTCAAGGAAGCAGGAGCAGACTTACCAACCCCACCAGCACATTTCAACTGATTATTTCTCCTCCCACCCGCCCCCCCAAAAATAAATAAAAAAGAGCAGTTAATACTCAGAGCATGAGAGGGAGGGGGAGGCAAAGGGAATGAGGATATAATTATGCCAGGCCCGCAACCTCATGGAGCCTCTCAAAAGTATGCAAGTGTTTTGCTGAAGAGGCATTAACCTACGAGTAACATAGTCACTGCAAGTGGCACGGGATCCCTCGAGCCTACATGGACATTTCAGACGCGGGACGTTGGCTGCTGTGGTTCTTCTGCTTTACCTGGGACAGGGTTGGGGGACAGGCTTGCGCTGCGGCAGGGCTGGAGGCAGGTTTCTCTAGACATCATGTAGACAGTGGTTCCCAACCTGTGTTATACAGCAGATTGGCATGGGAGCCGGCTGCCTCCCTCCGGGGGCTGCCCACCTTCACGCCGTGGGCCCAGGGGTCTGAGCGGGGGCTCATGCCACGGCCCGGCAGCCAACCCTTTGCAGCGCGGTACCGGGAGGTTTGGAGAGGGATGACCCTTCCCCTGGCCGGGGTGAGAGGCCCCTTCTGGCCCCATTTCTGCGATTCTCCCACACGCGTCAATGGAGCAGATCTTTAGCCATTTCTTCCGAAACCTGCACGCCCAGCCCGGCCCTGCATGACGCCCCTGCATCTCTGGGGGCACCCAGCCCCCCCGCCCTCTCCAGAGGAAAAGCCCCAGAGGCGACGGGTGGTTTATAACTGCCCCGTCACCGAGAAGCCAGGGCGCACGTGGATGAACCGCGCCATAAATGGAGACAGGCCACACACCTGACAAGAGCCCCCAGCTGAGGGCGAAGAGCCGGGCGGGCTGGAGAGAGGTGCGAGGACCCCCGGCCCGCCCCGGCCCCGGCCCCGGCCCCTACCTCGCTCGTCGGCGAAGCAGACCAGCACCTGCCCGCGCCGCTCCAGCAGCTCGCACTCGCCGCCGCCAGACCGCCGCGCGCTCTGGAAGTAGCGGAGTAGCTTGTTGCGCAGCGCCCGGGTCAGCCCCGCCGGCCCCGCCGCGCCCTCCAGCACCACCGCGAACCGGCATCCAGGCCCCTCCGCCGCCATGGCCGCGCGCAGCCCCTGCTTTCGGTTTCATTTCCCCGCCGGGCCTGGCCTACCCGGGGAGGAGAGGCGGCGGCCCGGAGCCTTGGCAGGCGCCCGAGCCCTGGAGGCAGCTAGAGACGGGGCAGTCCTTGCACGAGTAGGCAGTGTTGCCTCTGACTGAGGCAGTGCTCCAGGGTTGGGTTGGGTTTTTTTAACGTGCTTTTGCCTTCCTGATGCGAAGTCACGCATGGCATTACAGCGTGTGATGAAGGCCTCCCCGCGGGGAATGAGCCTGCCTCTGGAAAAGCCGCTGGGGGTGTTCAAAAGCAGCAGCCCCTTGGCGAGCGGGAAGGGCTGGAGTGGGGCAAGGCACCGGGGTAGCCAGCAAGGCCCGCCCAGGGTGCC